GCTACCCGTATTCCACTTTCTTTGCTTTCTGGTCAAACCTATAAAAGTTAGGGCCAAAGCCAAAATCCCCTCTCGATTCCTCCAATGAACGAGAGGTCTACTTTCAAATCGAGTGATCAAACCTTCCTACAGTTAGGGTCATCTTAAACTCCTGCTTGGTCAAACCTACAAAAGTTAGGGCCAAAGCCAAATTCCTCTCTTGATTCCTTCCATGAACGAGAGGTCCACTTGGGACAGTCAAACCTATAAAAGTTAGGATTGTTTCCGATCTCGTTTAGTCAAGCCTACACATAGTCAAGACTAAGGTCGAGTCACTCCTTTTCGATAAACGAAAATCCACCTTTGTCCCCTTTTCCACCAAACCTATAAAAGTTAGGGTTGAAATTGGGTCTTCTCCTCAATGAATGAGGGGTTCTTTGGGTTCAAATGACCAATCCTATAAAAGGTAGTGTCGTTCGAACTTTTCCGATTCTCGGAGTGGAGATCCCACTCTTAGTTTCATCCTTCCGGATTCTGGGGGTGGAGATCCCACCTCGAGTTTCCTTTCCAGCTGAAGATAGAATATAAAATTCTTCCTCTTCAGCACCGGGAGATAGAATATAAAATTCTTCCTCTCCCGTGTCCTTTCCAGCTAAAGATAGAATATAAAATTCTTCCTCTTTGGCACCAAGAGATAGAATATAAAATTCTTCCTCTCCTGTTTCCTTTCCAGTTGAAGATAGAATATAAAATTCTTCTTCTTCAGCACCGGGAGATAGAATATAAAATTCTTCCTCTCCCGTTTCTCAATCTGTCTTTGCTTTTAGAAAAGACACGATTCTCAACTTCTAATCCGGGCACTCGATGCACGGGGAATTTTATCCCGAAGCCTAAGTAGGGATAAGTCAACGCCTAACACGCGTTGCCGGGTAGTCTATTCCCGTGAGAAAGACGAAGCCTATGTATTCAAAATCATAGCACAAAGCCTCAGAGAGTTTACTCTCTTAGCACAACGTTACATGTGAGACGGGTTTAATAATTCACATGCTAGTCCGATTTCAAACGGTGATCGGTAAAGACATATCAAACCCGTTGAGGGCTGGGGGTTTGCCAAAAATCCCATAAATCTTTCATTCGGAAGAAATACAGAAAAAGATCACGAGAAAGAAGCAAATGCGGAGTTTCTATTAATAGACCGAGTCAAAAGCATACAACAAGAAGCTCATTAGCCCGAAAGCAGCTGGCGGCTGAGAATATGAGATTTTAAGCTAAAAAGTCTATCTACATAACTCCGCTCAAGTCCCGCCTGCAGATCAGCTCGGGCAGATTCCTCAGAATGGCTTAAAATCTCCGCGGCTTCGCTCTTCAGCTTCATCAGTCTCTCCTGGGAGGATCCTAGCTTCTCGAGTGCCTGTTCCCGAGAACGCTCTAGTCCAGCCAGGTCATCCGCAATAAGGGCAGCAGATTCCTCGACGCGCTTCAAGGTCTCCTTCAACCTAGTCACCTCCTCGCGACTCGAGTCCAAGGAGTGGAGTAGCTCAGCTCTATCCGTGTCTTTCCTCGCTACGGTAGCCATCAGCTGCGCAACGGAACTCTCATGTGACTGAAGCTCGCATCCGATGGAAGATCTCAGGTCATGCCACTGTGCCATCCTATGCTCCAACTGAGAGGACACCAAAGAAGAAGCCCCGTTAACCTCCAACTCCTTTAACTCTCGTATCTCTGACTCAAGGGCAGCGAAATCGGTAGTACAGGAGTCGGCCAATTCCGAGTATCCTTCTTCCCTCATCATCATCATGTGGCGAGAAAAGGAACGCCTGAACTGATCGAAGCCGCATCCTCTATGAAGAAGTTTCTCGATCAGGCCGTTATAAAAGGCAGTGAAGAAGCCGAGGTCCGTACGAAAGGACGCGGACACACTCGTATAGGGAAGATCGAGATCCTACAAGCAACAACATAAAAGTTCAGCGGATTATCGAATACGATGAGGAAATTCAAAAGGCAAGTTCTGAGCATACCAACGCCAACGGACATCCCCTCAGGCTGAGGTCCGACGGGCTCTGAGACAGCAGCAGAGGAGGGTATATCAACCCCTACAAGTGGATTGCTTATATCACTCGGCAAAGGCGGAGAGACGCCACTTCTATGTAGACCTTCAGCCCCGGGAACTGTAGTAGTATCAGGCCCAACGGCCGGTCCTATAGTTACACTCCTGTATTAGTCAAATGGAAATTTGGACAAATAAGGAGAATCGGGACAAGAAGATCGTATGCATACCTGCAATCCCACCGTCCTCAGATGCAGTGGGAATGCCAAGAGTCATAAGAGTATCAGCCCAAACGGCCGGTCCTATGACTGTACCTCTTTATTAGTCAAAATGAAAATTGAGACAAATAAGGAGGATTGGGATAATAAGGTCATCTGCATACCTGTAGATCCATCATCCGTAGGCATCTGAG